AGCCGTTGCATCATGGGGTTGTGTTTTTCCTTCCAAAGTTCGGTTATTTGTTGAAACTCTCCAAATCCAAAATACGCGGAAAATCGAGAAATTACGCGATACCCAGAATCGAATCAAAATGAAAAATAACAAATTGAAAATGGATATTGGGAATGGATGGTCATGGAAATTTGAAATCAGTGACCGACCGGTAACCCGATGAAAGGTTCTAAAATAAAACACCAAATCAGAGAACCTTTCCCCTAAGAGGTCGGTGGTTTCTCTCCGGGAGCCACGTGGAAATCTTTGATTGGCGAAAAGGTTCAGTGTGCTTTTTTGGATATTATTTTTGTCTGTGGATCATGATTACACATAAGGTGTGGGTCCCGAGGATTTATGTGGTGCTGCTATATTGCCCTGGTTTTATAGGAGAAGATATCAACCGTTGATCAAGTTTAATCAGCTATGCGTTGGACAGTTACGAGTTAAGTCTAATCAATGATGCACCTGTTCCTTGAAAGAAGAGACACGCCTTCTTTGCAGACGTTTTAATTTGACGGAAAAAGGTGAAAATGTTTCTTAAGTTTAATACATTAATAATTAATAATTCAATACATATAATTCATATATATTTTTTATCTTAAGATTAAATATGCTAGCTGGAATCCTCCAATAATATATTACCGTATTAAATTTTGAAATAAATGTTTTATATATCATATCAACACTATTTTTTATGAATTAATTATGTAAAAATATTGTAGTTAAGATCATAAGCTCACAACATAACGTGATATTATCACCTTATCTTTTTTTGTTTATTTAGTGCATGTCATAAGATTTCTTTTTAATACTCTTTTAGGATTTTTTTTAAAAGATAGATATTATAGGGTCATTATTTTATAATGTTGTAAGCAATTATTTGGTGCACAATAAATATATTTTTTTCTAACATTTACTATAATCTTATTTATAAAGTATAAACCACCAATATCACGTTATTATTGATAAAAAAATCATTATAATCATAATATATCATGTTAATATTTGATATCATGCAATAAACTTTAAACTTAATTTAACTTTACAAAATCAAATTTTCACCTATTTATATATTATTAATTAATTTTATATTTAGTCGATATAAATTTTTAAGATTTGTTATTATTAAACTCACTATTATTATTATTGGTATCACAATTTTAATCATTATCAGCAACATCCTATTATTACCCCTTATCATTGTCACAAGCTCCTTACTACTCTAATTTATTATCAAAATTTGAGTGTACACGAAATATATTAAGCAGGACTAATATTAACTTTATTTTCATCCCATGCTATTAATTAATTTTATTATACGGTATCTTTCTTACTCGTGCTCTCTATTAAATTAGGAGATAAATTCATAATGAGAGACAAGATAAATAAAAATTTATAAATTTTAATAAATTATGAAAAGAGTGTTGGTAGCATTATTCAATGTATTGAAAGGAGCAAAGCATTATCGACAAGATCTACTAAAAATCGAGCATTTACTATTTTTGTCGTAGCTCCACTTTATCAAGTAACATATATTTTTTAAGTAATAGTTATTTATTTCTCAATATTAAACAAAAATAAGCAAACACTTTTAATGGACGGAACTAAATCTAAAAAGAAAAAATATTCAATTTTGCCGTGAAGTGGTGTTAGTTAAGTTACGTTTTAACATCATTTTACCAAACCAAACATTAATGATATGATGGAAATTCATGAATAACTTAGCACAAAATAAACGTTTTGGTTACGTGATTCATATGATGGGAAATTCTAAAAAGAGGGATCAATGGACGGAGTCTTCAATCCCAATAAATAAAAAGAGTTTGTTGCTTATACTCAATTCACCCAATTAATAATACTCCATTACATGAAAAAGTTTAGTTATGGGAATATGAAAAAATTTATGTCTAACAAAGTTGTTGTAAACATCAAAAGAAAAATTGTAGTTAATGTTATGGTTGCTTTGGTGGAGAAAAGAAAAATATTAATGTTTTTTTTTTCTTTTATTTAGTAAGAAATTAAAAAAAGTTGACTTTTAGAATTTTTTCTATGAATTTTAAATTCAAATATTTTTCTTATTTTTTTTATTTTATCTATATACTCACATAAATTAAAAATAAGATTAATTCACAATAAACATCAATTTATATGTTAATTTTATAAAATAAAATAGATTTAGAGTTTCCTTTTCTAAATTATTTGTGGAGTATGTTATTTCACTCTATTATTTATTAATATTTAATATGACATTAAATATATATATATATATATATATATATATATATATATATATATATCAACATAAAAATGTTAAAAGCCTCATTAATTAAAAATAAAACTAATTTATAATATATAAATAGATATATATCTTATATTTTGAATTAAGTTTAGATATCATTTTTAATTCATCTAAGCATATACAATAAAAACGCATACATGTATATATGAAAAGTAAAATTAAGAATTCATGTTAGCCTCCAACATTAGGCCTTGTTCTATTGAGTGGATTTGAGGGGATTTGAAGATAAATTTTTTTGTCATTTATTTGAGTAAATTTGGAGGTAAATGAGAGTGAATTTGGAAATAAAATTTGTGAAAATTAGTATAGAATTGTATTGACGTGACAAATTAAAAAAATTTATTTCCAAATTCATTCTCATTTACTTTCAAATTTACTCAAATAAACAACAAAAAAATTTATCTTCAAATCCCCTCAAATCCACTCTCTCAAATTCACTCAAAAGAACAAGGCCTTAGAATTTAGCAATTAATATACAAATGTATATATGAAAAGTAAAATTTAGAATTCATGTGTTAGCCTCCAATATTAGGGTTTAGCAATTAATTCACAAAAATTTACAGGAGAGAGTTTAATGTGACTATAGGTTGGTGGTATCATTAATAATTCATTCAAGCTGCCACATATTGACCTTGTCTTACCTAATATAATCTTTATTACACATTTCTTAAGTTCAACTGTGTGAACTTGAAAAAGAAGGGGTAAAACTGTAATTTTAATGTTTTTTCAATAATAATTATCTTTGACATTCTGACTAATAAACAATTGATTTTTTTAGTTTCTTCATTTAAGGATAAGTGTTGTTTTCACTCTTCAAAACTTAAATTATTTCTACGTCTCTCTAATTGAAAAGACAATTAAGTTAATATTTCTATTAAAATGTGTTTTTAACTATTTGTTCTAAGAATCAAATTTAAAATTAAAATAAATTATTAGGTAAATAACTTATAATTTATTAATCAATTTTAAAACATAGAGGTGAAAAATAAATTTATTTTAAAATATACAAATCTGAAAACATATTTAAGTAAATAAATAAACAAATTCCAATTTAGTTTTTAGAAGAAAAAAACGAGATGAGAGCTAAAAGGCAAAAGTTACATTGAATCCTTCATTTTGTTCTCACAAATGACTTTAATATTTTAGCTTCAAGTTTGTGATGATAATAGTTAGAGTGAATACCATGTTCAAGGAATGGTCTATTTTAAAATTTAATGTTTCTATTATAGTTTTTTTTTTCTTGTAATTGAACAGGTTAAAAGGGATAATATATATGAATTATTATTAATCTTGATTCAAGAGTAAACTAAAACCACGTCAATGTTTCAACGTTTTATCCTTAAAGAAGAAGTTTTGATAGATTTAAAGTGTAATTTATCTCTTTTAAAAAGTTTCTTCCAAGTATACTAATAACATTAAATAACCCATTTTTACCTTCTATTTTAATTTGTCCTTTAAATGTTAAAAAATGATAGTTCATGATTGAATGGTGTAATAGTCCAAAATTATCCTCCGCAAACAGAGATTTAAATCTACCACATTAAAAAAATTGTTTTGGTTTATGGGTGAAGAAGTCTTCTTACATAAATTATCTTCTAACTCTAAGCATAGATAACAGTGTGGTATTCAATCCTCTTTACGCTGTTCGATCTGGTCGGATGTTATCAGTAGAAAACATTTTAATGCTTAAGTCAGTATTTGTCTGAATATCTTGACAATAAAATGTGTAATAAAAGTAATCTAATATCAAAGTTGTATTTATAGATTTTTATAATGGATTTCTGATTAATTCTAATTACAATCTATATGTTAATAACTCGATTCAGGATTAACTTAATTATGTTCGATATTTAATTTTGTTTATAGTTCGACTGGTGAGTCATCTCGTTACTAGATTATTAACTACTAGGTCAATGTCTAACCGCGGTCATACACTATAAAAATATTTTGCCTTAAGATACAATATCTTATTTATATTTTAATTTAGTTATACTACATGTTAAGACAAAGGTTTCAACATAATTTTTTTTATCGAAAGGACCTAATGTTAAAGAATAATAAATAATGACTCTTTAGAATGGAAACGTGTAAGCTCAAATCTAAAAGAAAGTCGAATATTGAACTTGTTCAGGATATCTACTAGTTTTGTATAGTTTAAAAGTCGAAGTATAAAAGAGTTTAACTACTTTTTTTTTCCTTTATACATTTTAAAACATTTTTTTAAAGATAAAACTATATGAAACAAATTAAACTAAATTTCAAATAAAATAATATCTCAAATATATATCTTGATAATTGATCTTAATTATATACTCGACACTTGTGATCGAAATAAAACTTGTAATGCCCACATTCTTAAAAGGGAAGATTTGGCTAACAAAGTAATTGATTTTTGTGGCAATACAATGTTTCTCTATTAATTGTGTCACAAACCAACTTCTCCAAACTTCAATTTTCTGAGTAAATTCTTCAACCGTACAATTCAAGCTACTTCACCATTTTAGTTTGTGGCTTTAAGCAGTTTTCCAAAATTTCATATCCGTTTCAAACCCTTATTATCACAAGGCCACAATAACCTCAAAAAATTGGGATCTACACGTGTCACCATATTAACGTGTAAAACCCAATTCAGTTTGCACCTTACAAAATTCTCTTGACCAATTTTTATACCCAAAAAAATCAGTGAGCTAACGACAAAGACAACATTGGATTACTTATCTCACATTATTGCTACCCTCTTATTGTTACAGGAGCTGTCTGCTAAGTGTCAACAAAGAGACTCAAAGAGCAGCAATGGAGGCTGCATTAAGCACTGCACTTGCTCTTTCACCTAACCAACTATTCAGTGCAGTAAATCCTGGTACTATACCATCTCCTCTTTCTAATTATCTTTCATTTTTTTTTCATTACATATTAGTACTGTACTATAGTTGTTTGTTTTTCTGATGTATTTTCCAAAATAATATAAGTGTTCATTACTTTTTGTATTCGCAGGAGATAAAAATTTTGCTTTGAAATATTGCAAAGATCGTAGTGTTGTAATGACAATGGCAGCCACTGGAATATTAGGAAAAGGTGGAGGCTTGATTGAGAGGCCAACCATAGAGACAACAACACCTGGAAGGGAATCCGAATTTGACGTAAGGTAATACCAATATCACGAACAGTGAGCACAATTGAGAGGATTTTCTCACTGTATGATTATGCAGAAGAATTGAAGAAACTTCTTGAAAATTCACGTGTATGTCTGGATAATTTTTCTTACAGGTTAAAATTAATGTTACCAAGATTTAGTTTTGGTTCTTAAAAACCAAAATGGTAAAACCTTTCGCTTAGCTTCTGAGACAACAGATTAGGTCTTTACAGAAGTTATATTGAATTTTTAACCTACCTCAATCAATTTATAACATAAAATTTGTATTTATTTATATATTATAAATTCGTCTTATTTTTAATCGGACGAGACTTTCAACATTTAAATATGTTATAAGAATAGAAAGGGAATTTTGGTGTAGTGTAATTAGGAAACTGTAACTATTAGTTCAAGGTCCGAAATTTCCATTTTCAACACTCAGCACACATTATATTTTGGAATCAGTTCATCTAGCTAGATGCCACAGAGAAAAGGTATCATTTCCTCTGTTTTGGGACCTTTTCTCATTTGTAGTCTATCTTCTTGTTTGCATTTTATTTAACTTTTAATCTTAGGCCAAGAAGAAGCACCTACAGTGTTTTCATTTGATTTTTGTTTTCTTTTTTTTTTTTTTAATTTTCATTACTTTCTAATAATATCTAAACAATTTGAAAAGCTATAGTTGATGCTTGTTAAGTACAAACTTGGACCCTTAATTTCCTACTGTTTAGCAGGAGTATGAACTAGTTTTTAAATTCCAAAAGTATCTTTCAGTTGAACTAAACTACTACAGCAAGAACTGAAAACCACTGATGAAATGAAAGCAATACTACATATCACATCAATACTAATGCTTGGTTTCTGGAACTGATCTTGTTCAAAGATGAAATGCCAAAGCTGTGTCAATAGCAAATGTCCAAATTATGTTGTTATGTGTAATGAAGGTTTCATTAGTTATGTGCCATATTAGTTATGGTTATTTCAACTGATAACAATTCAACTTTCAATTTCAATGGGTGGTTCAAATTAAACAGCATGTTGTAACTATGAAGCAGACAAGTGATCAATTTCAATTTCTCCTTGTGCTCACTCTTATCTTTGTTGTTTGTTCTTGTCTCATTTCATCAAATGTTTGATAAAATCTTTGATCACATGTTTTGTATCAGGAAATCGCGGAAAACATCTCCACCATTCCGAGTTTTGCTGCATAATGACAACTTCAACAAGAGAGAATATGTTGTGCAAGTGCTGATGAAGGTGATACCTGGAATGACAATTGATAATGCAGTTAACATCATGCAGGAAGCACATCATAATGGATTAGCAGTGGTGATCACATGTGCTCAAGTGGATGCTGAAGACCACTGCATGCAGTTGAGAGGAAACGGCCTTTTAAGCTCAATTGAGCCAGCTGACGGTGGTGGTTGCTGATAGAAAAACAGATCATTTCCATAGCCTAGTACTTTCTTACATATTACTCAGTTCCATAATGTTCTTCTTTCCAATTCCAACCATTAAACATGTCTGTATAGAAAAATAATGACTAGTGTCTTTATATAAGCAATAGCCAGAACATAACATAAAATTTGGATGAAGATGGTTGGTTGAAAGTAAAAATTGAAGCACCAATTGATTACATAGAATGCTGCATACCTGAAAGAATAAATACTACAGAGAATGAGCTTTAAATGGCAGTGTTTGTTAGTGTCTTGAAAAGCATTTTAACTATTATAGTTTGCAGCATTAAAAACAAACAGATATGGCTGATATGTTCATCAGCACAGCATTGGTTGCTTCCCCAAAGTTTAAATGCAGGTTGGTTGCAATCTTTGTTCCAGTAAGCAATGAAACGTGAAAACGTGATCATAGCTAGAAAAAAGAAAATCTAGGAAACAAGAATAGCAATGACACTGACATGCTTTTATGACCAATGCAACAACCTCAACAACCAAGACACATTTAAGGAATACATAAATTTGATGTCTTCGAGATACTACAGTGTCTCTTGGTGCTTTGACATTACAGCTCTACTTACTACTGAAAAACTTGGATTGGAAATGTTGTATCTATGCAGTTTCACTTTGATCAACCTTGTTTGATTCATAATATAACTTGGGCCGATCAGCTTTTTGGGCTAAAGTAGCCCATTCAAACATATTGGGCCAGAAACAATCTGAAACAAATCAAACAATGTCCTATTCTTGTAACATAATGTAAAAAGTGTTTGATGTATCAAGTAGGAGGTTCATTAGGAAGAGAAAATATCGATAAGACCTGAGTTCAACAACATAAGTATTGACATCATTATTATCCAAAACCTTAAGAGTTGATGAAATTTTACTTTTATATAAAGTTTTATTTTCTCGTTATCTAATATTAAACTTATACTCACACTTAAAATTCTAACAAAAATCACCTATGTGCTTTCTAATTTGCTTAGCTCAAATACCTTTCACAATTGCAACTATTGTGTATGAACATAACAGGTAGTTGCTATGTTAACATTAAAGTGCTATGCAAGAAAACTCACTCTAGCCTACTATACTCTATACAATTAAAATCGTGTTCAATTGAGTTTATTAATAAAATAAAGTTTGTTCATTGAAGGACTTAGATAAAATATTTAAAGACACTTGCATTGTCTCACTTTCCTCACCAATTATATTTCCCTGAAGGTAAGCTAAACTAACCATCTTTTTCCTAAAATAATCAACATAAAAACTAAGAAAAAAAATACAATAGGTATATATTAACTAACAAACTTCCCTAGTTTTAGTTTGAGAGCATTGGAATGGATAATGACACTCCAATTATGTAAAGAATTACCCCATGTGGTGATGAAATGATTATATTAAAGAATTCTAAATTAAAAAAAAATGGAGACATGATTCAAATCAAAGTGAGCTAAGATTTAGCATTCAGATAGTCTTGTTGGTTATAGTAATTACATTCAGCATTAAAATTAAAGACAATTTTATTTAAATAGCAAAAGAGGAAAAAATATTAAAAACTAGATTGTTACGCCCGTGTTACCAAGAAGGGGTAATAAAAACTTATATTGACAGTATAGTTTATTTAAAGTTATTGTCGACATTATTGTTAAATTATAATTTATTGATACTAATATATCAATTAAACCAGAAATATTAAAGTCATTTAGCGACTTGCCAACAAATATAATTTAATTACTGATTTTACTTCTCAATTATACAAATATTAACATATTATTCTTTGTTTACTCTCAACTTACCCTTTAGTCAATATATCTCCTAGTTATGCTTCTAACATAGTTTTTAATCTTGTTTAAAAACATGTTCAATCTAGTAATACTTTTTAACTTTTCTTATATGCTTCTAACGAGTAAACTTTGTTTCTAGATTTAGCATTCTTCAGTGTGATTACTCTCAAGTTAAATTTATGGTTTCTAGTGGTGTTCCTTTCATTAAATCTTTTAGATTTAATTAATAATTTGACTTTTTTATTATTATTTATATCTATGATTAAGATGTATGATTTATTTCAAACTTTATAATTTTTTTACTCAATTAAGTTTTAATATTTTCTTAATTCAATTAAATCTTAATATTTACTAAATAAAGTTAATATAACCTTTTAGATTAAATTAGTTTTATCATTATTTAAGTGTTACGTGTTAAATTTGTCAAAATTAGAATAAATGCTTACATAGATCCACATTTTAAGATGTAACTCTTCCTAAAATAAATTATCAACATAAAAAGTCATGTCCAGTTTTTTTTTTTTCTCAAATAAACAGTGACAAAGTTACTAATAAATAACTCTCATATCAAAGTAACTTTAAACACAAAAAATATTTTTGACAAAATTATTATCATTGAAATAAAAAGTTTATCTTGGCACAAGCATAAAGATGAACTACCAAAAAAAAAACATACATAAATACAATCTGATTTAAGTGTCCATCACAATCTCTGACAGCATCAACAACTTAAGCAGTATGATGATTTAATTATTGATTGGAGCATGAACATATATACAAAATAAATAACAGTAAACTTGACCCTTCTGCATGCACATGAAAACAAAATGAAAGATTAGAAATCCACCTATCCATGTACAATTTACAAGTATAATAATAATAATGCTTAAGATGCATTACCAAACTCTTTTTCCAACTTTAATTTTGCATCCACCAACCAACAAATCAATCAATGAAATGCAATGCAATGAAATGCAAACACCTCTTTCTCCGTGCCTTCTTCTCCTTCTCTCAATCCAATAAAGCCAAACCAATCAGTCTCTCTTCCTTCACACTCTCACACCTTTTCTCTTTAAACAAACTCAAAAATGGCGCATTTTCTTCTCTCTCTTTGCACCATTTTCACCATTTTCACAACCCTATCTCTCACATCTTCTCGCACCATCACCATTCCTTCACACACCAACCTTCTCAATATCTCTTCATCCCTTCACCAAGCCAACCAAATCCTCTCCTTCAAACCCCAAAAGGCTCTGCAACAAGCTTTAACTCAACAGCAAAACCCCACTTCACCTTCTTCCTCTTTCTTCTCCGTTCAACTCCACACAAGAGAAACCCTCGTCAATGAGCAACACCCAGATTACAAAACCCTAGTTTTGGCCCGACTCGCCCGCGACACGGCACGAGTCAACTCGCTCCTGACCAAACTGCAGCTCACACTCTATGGCGTCAAAAGATCCGACCTTTACCCGTCCAAGACGGAGGTTGGACTCGAAGACCTCTCCACGCCTGTCTCCTCTGGCACCTCCCAGGGAAGCGGCGAGTACTTCTCACGCGTCGGCGTCGGCCAGCCCGCTAAGCCCTTCTACATGGTCCTCGACACTGGCTCCGACGTCAACTGGCTCCAATGCAAACCCTGCTCAGATTGTTACCAACAATCCGACCCGATTTTCGACCCTACATCCTCCTCCTCGTACTACCCGTTAACCTGCGACGCTCAGCAGTGTCAGGACCTTGAAATGTCGGCTTGCAGAAACAGTAGATGCCTCTACCAGGTTTCCTACGGAGACGGGTCGTTCACCGTAGGCGAGTACGTCACTGAAACGGTGTCGTTCGGCGGGTCCGGGTCAGTTAATCGGGTCGCGATCGGGTGCGGGCACGATAACGAGGGGCTGTTCGTTGGGGCGGCTGGGCTTCTCGGCCTTGGTGGTGGGCCGCTGTCATTAACCTCGCAAATCAAAGCTGGGTCGTTTTCGTACTGTTTAGTGGATCGCGACTCTGGTAAATCGTCCACTCTTGAGTTCAACTCACCTCGACCCAGTGACTCGGTCACCGCACCACTGCTGAAGAATCGTCAAGTGAACACGTTCTACTACGTTGAACTCACCGGATTTAGCGTCGGCGGCGAGATGGTCTCCATCCCACCAGAAACTTTTGCCGTCGATCAGTCCGGCGTCGGCGGGGTGATCGTCGATTCTGGTACCGCCATAACTCGTCTGCGGACTCAGGCCTACAACGCCGTCCGCGACGCATTCAAGAAGATGACCCAGAACCTGCGTCCCGCGGAGGGAGTTGCGCTGTTCGACACATGCTACGACCTGTCGTCCCTGCAATCCGTGCGCGTGCCGACAGTGTCGTTTCACTTCGCCGGCGACAAGTCGTGGGCGCTTCCGGCGAAGAATTATCTGATTCCGGTAGACGGCGCCGGAACTTACTGTTTCGCGTTTGCGCCAACGGCGTCGTCTCTTTCGATCATAGGGAACGTGCAGCAGCAGGGGACACGTGTCAGTTTCGATCTAGCGAACTCTGTAGTGGGATTCTCTCCCAACAAGTGCTAGACCGTGTAATTTACCACTTTAGCCTTATTGTTATTAATGTTATGGAAAAAATAACATGAATAATAGTAATTAATTTATGACGATATATAATATATATATATATATATATATAAAAAGGGTTGGTAGGTTTGTATTATTAATTGGATTGTGTGGTTCCAAAAGCAGCGGTTTTTAATTTAATGAGAATTAATACTTGATTTCCATGACATGGGTTTTGAGATTGATGAAGCTCTTAGCCCTTTTTCTCTTTCGTTTTGGCTTTTGAGATTGGAGTCTTTGGTCAATGCTCATGTTTTCCCTCTGCACTGTACTTTCCTGTGTTGGTTAAAGGCTTGCATGTAGGGCACATGGCATACAATGTGACAGCGATGTCGGAACTCAACTTGTTATGGATTCTTTTATTTGGATAATGAAGGAGATTTGAGGATGTTTGTCTCTTGGATTTTTTTATTTTGGACATGTTATTAATAAATTTGATACTTTTTCAAGTGATATTTCGTTATATATTCTGAAAAGTTTGATTTTAATTTCTAAATTTAAATTATGTGAGACTCTTAGATGTATAATATCGTTAATAAATAAACTCATTATTAATATTGCGAAGGTTAAGGGAAGAGATGAAGGGTAGCATACCTATTTGCAAAGGGTGACATTGAAAAGTGGGGCAGAGGGTCCGTGATTGTAGGCCAAATAATGCATGGATTCATGGATGGTAGCAGTAAATAGGTTTGGTTCTGTCTACTTTCAACAGCTGGAATCCACTTTTATATGTACCTATTTTCTATTTCTATAAAAGTAT